CCACCATCCCACTCCCTTCAGTCGCGGTGTCTACGCGAATTCACGTTGACGCACGTTTTTACCGTCCAGCTGCGGCGGAGGCGGCGGCGACGCCTGATAGTTGATTGGCCGTGACCATAAACACTACACAGACGGCAGACCATTTTCTAAACCAAGCCAAATCGGCATGCCAAAACATTGTCTGCTAAACTTGATATTGGTATAAGGAAAACGCAAAAGAGCCTTTATGTAAAAGCTTGAATGAATTTGAAGAATAATGACAAAAACGAGGAAGCAACGCCATAAATATTCGCGTTTCCTTACTTTACTTTCACTTATTTCAAGAATTAGGATATTTACCTGGCACATTTTAGTAGTGCAATAACTTTCAATAATGATTATGCACTAGAAAGCAATACTTATTTAAGTTACCTCCTTTAATAATTACCAATAAAATAGCTCAAAATAATATTTACCTGACTTCTACACTCCAGTAAAAGCGTACACTGCGGGCGTACAACTGCTCTAAGGCAATCTGTCGAGTTCCAGTCAGCATGTTTGCAGCTACTTTTGCGACAACAAAGGCACCTGTGGTGGTGTTTTGTTCATATCAAGACTTACGCCTTCTTAACTTCATATAACCCTCAAAATGTTACTTGTTTTTAAATATGGGTCAAGCTTGTACCAAGAAGTGGAAAGAAAAGTACCGTTTTAAAAGTTAGTAAACTGTTCCAGTCCTTTTAAACCTAAGCTAACAGATATTATCCACGTCTCCTAATTAATTAATCTTATCAGCTCTTAATACAATGTATACAAACCAGTTACTGATCATTTCAAACATTTAGGAGCAGGGGTGCCCTTGATGGTCCTTTATCCTTTTCAAATTCGAAGGTTAGCATCTCCAGGTAAGATATCAACTCTAGGGCAATAAACCGGCACTGGGAGGAGTCCATATTTTAAAAGAGTAATGCTATAATAAAATCTTTAAGGTTGTTAATCCAATCCAAGTAATCCGACATGATTTATTTCAAGCCGATACCACTTCGAGCGAGATTTTATCGAAACCTGCGACACGGCCTCTTTAAATTTGCCAATTCTGTTAAGAGTGCTGACTAATTCATTATTTTGCC